ATACTGAAAAAATGTCGGATTTTGCAGTAGCTATACAGGTCGCAATTATAGGCCAATCGACGCGGAATTTCGCATGTAGCTAGAGTTTAGGGCGGGGAAGAAGCCTACCAATTTGGGTGGTCATCGGATAATATTTAGCGGCTAAAATAGACCATATCTTTTTTATTGAAAAAATTCAACATTTTTCATTAAACCGCGAATATTTTAAATTCCGGCGAAATCACAAAGCCATGACAAGGTTACTTCTGATCTTTACATTGATGTTAATATCCAACAAATCGAATATATAGCAAAATATGTGCGATATATATGTCTATAAAAAAATATATGCTTGAAAGATCTATTTTATGTCGAGAACGGCTGAACTGATTTCGACAGTTCTCATTAATTCAGAATGGCCTCTTGGCAGGAAAGAAACAACGTCTAAAAAATCGCATAAAAATATATCTTTAAAGATGAAAATATTGATTTTGTAAAATTTTCTCATATTTTTCAATTTTGTCATATTTTTGGCATATTTTCATTTTGAATTAAACGTTTGGTAATATTTCTACAGCTAACAAAACTAAGTAGTTAGGATATCAGGATATCATATACAGATCGCATTTATGGCCCGATCCTAACGAAATTTTGCATGGGGATCAGATGAGGGTCAGAAAAGAAGCCTACTCTTTTTGGAGATGATCGCCATATATTTAGGGGTTGAAATGGACCAAAAAAACTGCAAAACTGTCAGCAGGTCGTAATTATTGCCCGATCCTCACGCACATTTGAATGGGGGCTACCGGGCATTGCAAAATCCAAGCAGTTTTGCATGGCCATCCAAAAATATTCAATGTGTGAAATAGTTTGCCAACTTTTTTAGACAAAATACGAAAATGTCCATTCCAGTGACTTTTTGGAGAATTCACAAATACAGGAATGACGCACTTCTGACTATTTCGTTAACGCTGATTTCGTTGAAGAATATAGTCAAATGGCTGTATCTCATATAGATGCGTTTCAGTCAAAAACCAATAATAAATGTTAATCTTTTGCCACCTATGAGAGATTATACGTCTTTGGGAAATATTGGTTCCAGATCTAGGAAAACCATTTAAGTGCAACATCTACCAATAACTTGGAAATGAGCAAATTAGTTTAAGTTGCTATTATTCGAAAATTAGAGAACGAAACCTGATGGTTTTCTTTTATTATTTGTCACAATATCTTGTGGAATTCTTTCGAGTATCTCGCCTATATAAACTGTATCGTTTATTGTAGTGTTGTAGGGTATTCAACGGTCGGCCCCGCTCGACTGTAGCCTTTGCTTACTTGTTATTTATTTATTTCAATTTTTTGAAAAATATGAAATAAAAAGCTACATTTAAATTTACAACAAAACGGTTTTTTTCGGCCCTTGAAAATAAAAATCTGGAAATGAAAATGTAAACATTAAAATTTAATGATTTAAGAAACAACCCGCAAGGGCAGCATAGGCTACTCCAATGAAAGAGGGAGAGAGAAATAGTTCTCTTGCCCTCTCATTTATTCCAAATGAATTAAAGCCCCATGTTCCACGTTTTAACGACTCTCTAAAAATTTAAAAGAAAAATCCGCATTTGTGAACCTTGAAGAAAACCCCATATAGGCATCTGAAAATATGTTTAAATATCCATAAAAAGGATTTTAATGGTTTTTCCACATTTGGGGCTCGAAATATCCCAAAAACAACAAGTTCAAAGCTTTTACTACCCATGGAAACAGTGCTATAAAACTCACAATCACATTTCACATTCATTGATTTTTTCCCCATATTTTTAGAATATTTCTCTATTTTGAAGAAACATTCTTAAAAATATTTATATTTATATCCAAAGTAACAGTTCTACTGTTTTTTTTTGCTTATATTCCTTGGAAACATCTCGAAAATACCCCTAATGTTGTTAAAATGTAAACATTGCAATCAAAAGACTTAAGACACATACAGTAAGGGCAACATGAACTACAGTGTACTGTAATTACTACACCTATGAAAGAGATCGAGAGAGTGAGAGAGAGAAAGTTGTCTTACATTCTCATCTATTCTAATTGGATTACAATATGAAAGACTTAAGACACGAACATCCAGGGCAATATAATTCTCACCACAAGAGAAAGTGTGAGAGAGAGAGAAAGGGAGAACTCTCATCGACTTCTATTGGACATTAAAACGAAAGACTTAAGACACGAACATTTGAATAGTGTCAATCTAAATGGAATACAAGTTCTTTAAACTTTTGAATAAAAAAGACAATTGTCACAGGAAGGGAAACACAAGCACAAGAAGTGAACAATGTAGGAAAAGAGTATTGGTGGTAATAAAAGAGCCTTTCCTTCACAAAACCAGAGAGAGAGAGAGTTATCTTAATTTTTAACCTATTCTAAATGGATTACAATATGAAAGACTTAAGGCACGAACATCCAGCGCAACATAAATCTAACCTCAAGAAAAAGTGTGAGAGAGAGAGAGAGAGGGGGACTCTCATCGACTCCTATTGGACTTCAAAACGAAAGACTTAAGACACGAACATTTAAGTAGTGCTAATCTCAATGAAATACAAGTCCGGTAAATTTTTGAATGAAAAAAAAAACAATTGTCACAGGAAGGAAAACATAATAACGTCATGTTCTCCAAGCTCTGAGATGGGCAATGTAGAAAAAAAGATAATTTTTGGAAGAGTCAAAATTAAACTTTTCCTGCTGTTTAATTATTTTTTATATAATTTTTAAAACATTAATTATCGACTGAGAATTGTTGAGAGAGGGATAAGGAAAGACAACAGGGTTTTGTACTCCTAATTTACTGTGTTGCTCAAAATCGTCTGTTTATTGATAGTAATTAGAGAGTAATAAGAGTTTCCTTTACTAAACCACGGTCTATACTTCAATGCTGATCTAGAAGTTATTCTAACGCAAGCGGGCAATTTTTAATCAACTTCTATGTATTATTCATCTGCTTTAATAACAATTTTAAACAAAGTTCGTATTTAACCAGTAAAGAAAGTCTTAAAGTCGGGTGGGGCCGACTTTATGATACCCTACACCACTTTGCTAATTTATGAAAGCTCCGCATAACAATTAAATTTTTTTATGGGAGAATTCAATCATACACGCAATGATTATAATTATAATTTAAAGTTCAAAAGACTAAATATGCCGAAGCATTTGTATCTTTTAAATTCGGACTTATATTGCCCATTTGGTGCACAATATCCAAATCAGAACCGATCACGATAAAATTTTGGCATATATATTTCTGAGCTTTATTTGATATATTTCCCTGAATATCGTTGTTACGGAGTGCATATTACGGCTGTGGGTAACAAATATAACAAATCGAATAGACAATATATATGGGAGCTATAGCTATATCTGAACCGATCTTCACCAAATTTGACATACTAGCTTCTAGACTCAAATCGGTCGTAAGTGCCAAATTTCATTCCATTTGGACAAATATTAGACATTTGGTGCACAATAAAATGTAAATCGGACGAAGTTATACATGGGAGCTATATCCAAATCTGAACCGATATCGATAGAATTTAGCAAAGGTATTTCTGAGCAGCATTTGACATATTTCCCCAAATATTGTTGTTACAGAGTGCTTATTACGGCTGCGGAGGACAAAAATAACAAATCGGATGAACAATATATATGGGAGCTATGGTTATATCTGAACCGATTTCGATCAAATTTGGCATACTTATTTTCAGGCCTAATTTGGTTATATGTGCAAAATTCCGTACTATTCGGGCTGATATTACACGTTTGGTGCACAATAAAAGTCAAATCGGGCGAAGATATATATGGAAGCTATATCAAAATTTTGACCGATAATTTCCAATTTCAATAGGGTTCGTCCTTAGGCCAAACAAATGATTTGTGCAAAATTTCATCTGGATCGGGCAATAAATGCGAACTGTACTTAGTTTACAAAAATACATGGACAGACGGACTGACATACATAAATCCACTCAGAATGTAATTCTATGCAGATCATCAAAAGGAACTATGGGTCTATCTCGTTTCCATTTGCCTGTTACAAACAAATGCACAAAGACACACCCTGTGGTGATTGTTGAGTGACCTACTCCTAGATACATTGGGTAGAGACCCAAAGATAAAACCGAAATAATAAAATAATGAAGGAATTTCTGATTCGACGCGCATTGGGAGAGACTAATTTTTAAGGAATAAAATTTGAAAGGCTGTCCTATCCTTTTGAAAAATAGATTAAAATGTAAAAATCAAGAAAAGGTTGGATATAATAAATTTACACAAATAAAATGATTATTTTTTACTGCAAATTTCAGATCGTTAAGCTCGTCTCAAAAGAGAAATAAAAACATAAATCTGAACAAAAATTATTTATTTAACTTTTTTTTCCTTCTTATGCTCTGCTCCAGAAATCTCCACGTGCCAACAATGTAATTTAATTAATTTCACATACCACACCCAGCAAATCTCCCCATTTCCCATTGCAATCTGGGCCACCAATGTAATTGAATTTATTGTGTAATCCAATGAGATAATGCATGGTTCATTTTGTGGGGAGGCCGGTGGGTGTTAATCGATAACACGGTCAGAGGTCTGTCTGGTTTTAATTATGGTTTACAGCATGCTGGGAGAGTTATGATTTCGCCGGTGATTTGGGGATTGTTGATGTTTTTTTTTTTTTTTTTTTCTTTTGAGAAGTTAACTCAAAATAATGGCTTGGTCAACATATCAAAATATTTACCAAGAAAATTAAAGCGTATTTTTTTTTTTTTTTAAAAAAAAAAAACTATGCAATTTATCATATAATTAAAATGCTTTAATTTATCATATCAACAACAATGAGACAATGATATATTTTTTAAGAGTGAGGAGGGTGTACCATTGTGCCATGGTTTTCTGGGGTCCATGATAAAATAGCAACATGACGTTGCATAAAATCTTTGTTATGACAAATGCAATGGCAACCCCTTGGGCCATAGACGCCCACACAGCAACACATTCAACAGGTGAAAGGTATGACCGATGACAATTACGTGAGTGTGTGTGCGAGTGTGGCCATCATTTGTAATAGTTCTGTAATGTATAGCCACCTTTCTTAACATTTTGCTCCAAGTCATGGTAGTTAAAATAAAAATAAACAACAACAAAAATTAAAACAAATTATGTTTTGGCAAAAAAAAACAACAACTGTTACAATTTCCCTTAATGTGAATAGGTGTGTCCGGTAAAACCATTAAGGCAAGCCTTAAAATTAAAAAAAATAAACTTAACTAAATTTGAAAGTATTTTTTATACCCTACACCACAGGGTGGTCAGGGTATTATGACTTTGTGCATTTGTTTGAAACAGGCAAAAGGAAACGAGATAGACCCATAGTTCCTTTTTAATGATCTGCATAGAATCACATTCTGAGTCGATTTATGCATGTCCGTCCATCCGTCCGTCCGTCTCTCCGTCTGTCCATGTATTTTTGTAAACAAAGTACAGTTCGCATTTATTGTCCGATCCAGATGAAATTTTGCACAAATCATTTGCTTGGCCCAAGGAGGAACTCTATTAAAATTGGAGATAATCGGTTAAAATTTAGATATAGCCCCCATATACATCTTCGTCCGATTTGCCTTTTAATGTGCACCAAACGTGTAATATCAACCCGAATAGTATGGAATTTTGCACATACAACCAAATTAGGCCTGAAAATAAGTATGCTAAATTTGATCGAAATCGGTTCAGATATAGCTATAGCTCCCATATATATATTGTTCATCCGATTTGTTATTTTAGTCCTCCGCAGCCGTAATATGCTCTCTGTATCAACAATATTTGGGGAAATATATCAAATGCAGCTCAGAAATACATTTGCTAAATTTTATAGAGATCGGTTCGGATTTGGATATAGCTCCCATGTATAACTTCGTCCGATTTACCTTTTATTGTGCACCAAACGCCTAATAGTTGTCCAAATGGTATGGAATTTGGCACTTACGAGCGAATTGAGTCTAGAAACTAGTATGTCAAATTTGGTAAAGATCGGTTCAGATATAGCTAAAGCTCCCATATATATTGTTCATCCGATTTGTTATATTTGTTACCCACAGCCGTAATATGCACTCTGTAACAACAATATTTGGGCAAATATATGAAATACAGCTCAGAAATATCTTTGCCCAATTTTATCGAGATCGGTTGGGATTTGAATATAATCTCCCATATATAACTTCGTCCGATTTACCTTTTATTGTGCACCAAACGTCTATTATTTGCCCAAATACGATGAAATTTGGCACTTACGACCGAATTGAGTCTAGAAGCTAGTATGTCAAATTTGATCGAAATCGGTTTAGATATAGCTATAGCTCCCATATATATTATTCATCCGATTTGTTATTTTAGTCCTCCGCAACCGTAATATGCACTCCGTAATAACGATATTCAGGGAAATATTTGAAATATAGCTCAGAAATATCTTTGCCAATTTTTATCAAGATCGGTTCAGATTTAGATATAGCTCCCATATATAACTTCGTCCGATTTACCTTTTATTGTCCACCAAACGTCTAATATTTGTCCAAATGGCATGGAATTTGGCACATACGGCCGAATTGAGTCTAGAAGCTAGTATGTCAAATTTGGTGAAGATCGGTTCAGATTTAGCTATAGCTCCCATATATATTTTTCATCCGATTTGTTATTTTTGTCCTCCGCAGCCGTAATATGCACTCTGTAACAATGATATTCAGGGAAACATATCAAATACAGCTCAGAAATGTCTTTGCCAAATTTTATCAAGATCGGTTCCGATTTGGATATAGCTCCCATATATATCTTTATCCGATTTCAAATTAATTGTGCACCAAATGGGCAATACAAGTCCGAAGCAAAGTGGTGGAGGGTATTATAAAGTCGGCCCCGCCCGACTTTAAGACTTTCTTTACTGGTTTCTGTTGGTTTTTTCTTCTTGGCCAGTTATGGAAATGGAAAGTAAACGTATTTTCCTTAAGTAAGCGGAAGTTTTTGTTTCATTATTTAATAATAAGTATTATGCAGTTTAGTCTGATTTTTTTTTTGTATTTTTTTTTTTTTTTTTTGTAATTTTTTTTTTGAAAGTTGGCCTATCTATTATGAAAACCTCTTAAATCTCTAACAACATTATCATCCTTGAGTGATTATTACAATTTCCATTTGCATTCAATTTGGATTTATGAGCGTTTTGGGTATTCTCCTTTCCAATTTTGTACCGTTTTTATTTTTTTCGTTGCAGAAATCTTTGGTGATTTTACTGCTGACAAGCTCTATGCTGTTGGTGAATCTCCATGCCACAGCGGCCAATCATCATGCGTATTCGTATCATCCAGAAGAGGCCAAAGAGGATCTGCATTTTTTGCCAAAAGATAACAATCATGGCTTAGCCAAGCAAGCCATTGCTGGCCATGGTTTATATCAACAATCACCTTCCGACATCCATTTGAAAATTGGCACTCAACAATATCCACAAGAGAACACTGTGGAGCATCATTATCAGCATCCACATAGGCCAGCGTACCATTCACTGCACTACAATAATGTGGCACAGCATTTGGATAACGAAAACAATGCTGCCGATGATGATGATGGCGAACTGGACATTGTCTACCACCACACCAACAAACAGTCAATGGAATCCACACAACAAGAAAAACCCACTTTGCTGGATCAGCTAAAGAGTCAGGCTCAAGATTTGAGTGAAGGTTATGCTACATTTTTGCAAATTCAAGAAAATGACAGGTAATTCGATTCATTTGTTTTATCAATGTTAATTGTTTAATTAAAAAAAAGAAAAAAAAACTAAAGACTTAAGACACGAACTTTGTTCATTTTCATGGCAAAATTGAAAGAGAAAAAATTGATGCATTACTCAAAAGAGCGAAGTGTTGGGGAGAGCGATGTTTACAACATTGAATGAAGGGTTTTCTCTCTTTTTCTCTCACCCAAGTACCGATGGGTAGAAATACTGAAGGAGAAATTAAGAAGAGAGTTTTAAAATAACATGCCCGTGTAGAGCAAAATAATGTAGAGAGCAAAATAGTGTAAAGAAGTTGTTTAAGAGAAAATAAAAATTACATTTTGCCATTTTTCTGCCCTGCTCAAAACCGTGTTCTAGAACATGAGCCGAATAAAGAGATAATTTAAGAGAAAATGAAAATTCTGTTTTTTTTATATTTTATGATTCTATTTAATTGGTTTTTAACATGAATGTTTGTCCTAATAATTTTTAAAGCAAATGGATTAAAAATATTTGTAAGCAAAGAGAAATTTGACTGGGAAGAGATATTTTTTCTTGAGCAGCGCTGCATTTTTATACACTCAGCCATATGGCTAGAGAGGGTATATATCATTCGATAGGGCCAAAAGGTACCTCATCCAAATAATGCTTTTAGAACCTAGGTCTCTTTGGACCAAATTTATTCCAGGACATTTGGAGTCGATCTAGCTATGTCTATACGTTCGTCTCCCTGTTTCGCTAGCTGACTGGCGCGCACGATGACTCTCGAAGTATTGGATATGGTCCAAACTTGGTTCATAGTATTATTATTAAAATTACAATTTTTTTTTTTTTTTTTTTTGAAATGCTGTGAATTTTATTTTTTCCAAATAATCTGACGAATTTTGATTTTTAGAAAATATTTTTTATCACAATTTGAAAATGTGGATTATTTAAAAAAAAAAAACAATATTTTTCACAACCATCCGAAAAATGGGGATTTTTAAAAAACATTTTTTTTAAAGTCATCCAACATAAATGTGTTTTTAAAAACTACCTAATAAAGGCGTTTTTTTTTCAAAATAGTTTTTAATGCTTTCTGAAAAATCATGATTTTTTTCAAAACAATTTTTTATAGAAAATATTTTAAAGAAAATATTTTTCAACAATCTTTGACACATGTGGACTTTTTATACCCACAGCCATAGCCTTATATCACCCTATATATATCATTTGATATCGCCAAAACGTGCCTCATTGAAATAACGGTTTTAGATTCAAAGTCTCTTCGGACCAAATCCGCTTCAGGACATTTGGAGTCGATCTAGCGATGTCCGTCCGTCCGTCCCCCTGTCTCGCTAGCTGACTGGCGCGCACACGATAACTTTCGAAGGGAGCTTCCGATTTGCTCCAAACTTGGTACATCGTAATATTATTCTCAAACTTAGATGGAGTTCGGAGATAAACAATATCGGTCCACTCCTACTGGTACCTCCCCCTCAAAAGTTCGAAATTTTCAAAAAATTATTTTACTGCACAGAAAGAGAAACGACAATCCAATTTTGCTTCAACTTTGCAAATTCTAATATTTGCGTCAGTGCTAGGTCGGGTGTGAAAATGGACAATATCGGTCCACTCCTTCTGGTACTTCCCCACAAATGGTCAAAATTTTGAATAATTACAACTCTCATAAAATGTAATGTTAGAGCCCGATTGTCTTCAAATTTCACACATCCCAATATTTCTATCAACCCAAGGTCTGGTGTGAAAATGGAATATATCGATCCACTCCTTCTGGTGCCTCCCCCACAAAGGGTCAAAATTTTTAATATTCATGAAGCTCATAAAACTCGAAATTAACATCCGATTCCATTCAAACTTAGTACATCGCAATATTTACATCAACACAAGATCTGTTATTAAAATGATAAAAATCGGACCATTTCTTCTGGTACCTGTCTTACAAAGGGTTAAAGTTTTGAATAAACAAAACGATCATAAAATCCGAAAAAAATCATCCGGTTCTCTTTATATTTCACACATCCCATTATTTCTACTAAAACAAGATCTGTTGTGAAGATGGGATATATCGGCGCACTCCTTCTGGTACCTCCCCCACAAAAGGGTCAAAATTTTGCAATACCCATGAAGCTCACAAAACGCGAATTTACCTTCCGATTCCATTCAGACTTGGTACATCTCAATATTTCTATCAACTCATGATCTATTATGAAGATGATAGAGATCGGACCATTCCTTCCAGTACCTCTCCCAGAGTAGGGTCCATATTTTGAATGACCAAAACAAGCATAAAATCCAAAATAAGCATCCGCTTCTCTTCAAATTTCACTCATCACAATATTTTAATTAATCCAAAGTCAGATGTGAAGATGGGAAATATCGGCGCACTCCTTCTGGTACTTCCCTCACAAAGAGTCAAAATTTTGAATAATTACAACTCTTATAAAATGTGATGTTAGAGACCCATCGTCTACAAATTTCACTCATCCCAATATTTTTTATCAATCCGAGGTCTGATGGAATACAGGGTGAGATAAAAAAAACTGCAAAAAGTCTAACACCACGAATGAAAGCAAAAAATGTCGGAAATAGCATCGAATTTTAGAATAAGTTTGCCACGAATTATGGTCATCTAATGGCCAATGAAACCGTCACACGCTGCCCGAATGTTGGTTGCCCTTCCGTATTTTGGTCCATTCCCGGTGAAGCGTTTGCTTGAGGTAATCGACACTTTGGTATTTTTTAGTTCCAACCTTGCTTTCCAAAATACTCCAGACAGAATAGTCTAACGGATTGGTATCCGGAGATTTTGGTGGCCTGAAAATGAAGCAAGGAACCTCATTTTGAAACCATTTTAGAGTGGTGCGTGCTGGGTGCGATGCTGCTGAATCCTGTCCAAGGTCTGCGGCCAAAATGTTTGCATGCCCAAGGCTTTAATACACCCTCCAGAATATTTTCGCGATAATATTTGGCATTTATTCTGGTGCCACGGTTGATTAATATGAGCGAAGGGCTGTTATGGCGGTAGACACCATCATCTTGGGCAGCGCTAGAGTTCTGGTGGCCATCCGAAGGTGTATATTTTCACCTGACCTCTTTGGCAAGTAAACATTAATTCGATCATTTTGTTTGTTTACAAACTGCTGGACAAGAATGTTTTCTCATCGGAGAACGGAAAAAACCAAATTCGGCAGTTCACCACTTTCGGCCAAGCGAAGCAACTATTTAGCTCTTTTGAGTCTATTTTCTTTGTGTTGCGGTGTAAGTTCTTGCACTTTTTGGAATTTCAATGGCTTTACCCTGAACTCATTTTCCAATGGCTTTGCCGAATGGAATATTGCGATATATTCAACTCACGAGCCATTTTTCGGCCACTGCGACGCTGGTTTCGATCAAGTCGCGTCTTTACTTTTCGAAGCATTTCTGCTGATGTTGCAGTTTTCTTCCCTCCACTTCCTTGACGTCGTGGAGCTACGCTACCAGTATCACTACCGGGTAACGAGGGATGGTAAAAGACCCAGAAAGATTTATTCACATTTAAATGCTGGAGTGCTCTAACGATAGTCACTTGTGGTTTTCCAGCCGAATATAAAGAAATCACACCATCACGCTTGCATTTCATCAAGAATAATTTTTTTCGGGAAAATTCTCACCAAAAAAATCATAAAAAAATTCATTTTAAATTTCTCCTAAACAATCTCGTAATAAAATTTGGCTCAGATCTAATTTTTTATTTATTTCTTATAATTATATAATTATTATTTAATTATTATGTTATTTATAATTTTTTTTTAATTTTATTTTATTATTTTTTATTTTATTTTATTTATGTTTCCTATTTATTTACCTATTTCTGTATTTATTTATTGTTACTGAATCCATGAAAGGCCCATGGTGAATTTCTCATAAATTGAAAGCTTTAGTCATTCTAACCTCATGCAGCGACATCAAATTTTTTCTTAGGCTGGTGAAAAGCTCTACAATAAAAAAGCTTAAGCAAAATCTTTAACCCAACTTTTGTTAAAACTCCAAACCACACAAACAAAAGACTTAAGACACAAACCTCTTCCAAGCTTTACAAAGTTTTTTTTTTTAATAATTTAAAAATCATAAACAAGCTTTCTTTCAAAAGTGATCTGCAGTTCAAAGCTTTCAACCAAGTAACCCACTGCCTTAAAAAAGAAGTAATTTTTTCTTTGTTTTTTTTTTTGCTTTCTTTCTTTCAATTCCGCCTAATTTCCATGCCATGTAGTGGTGGTGGTCTGGCTTTCTTCTTCCTGGGGTTGGGTCCTGTAATTATTGACCAAGTCAGCCTATATTAAATCCTGTTTTGTTGTTATTTTGAACGCCTCCCTCTTTCTATTTCTCTTTTTCTGGTGTTTGGACATCACAATCACCCATAAACCACAACAATTTGCTTTATAACAAAATTGTATAATTTTACATGACAGCCAACAAGTGTTGTAAAAAAACAACAAACAAATCTAACAACTTGATCAATGATTGATCATAAACCCGTGGACAATTTCCTGCTTTATCTGCATAGAGGAAAGGTTATGTGCAAACGGTTTTTGTGTTAGGATGTGTGTGGGGGGGAAAATATTTGAGGGGGGACAGGCGAAAACTGAAGGAGTTTTAGTTAAAAAAAAACAATATAATTTATTGTTAATTAATTCATAAAAAAATTCGCAAAAGAGGGATTTGTGGAGGAAATATTAATGGAAAAACAAAAAATGACAAAGTTATAGTTTTAAAAAAAATTGAAAAATTTAAAAAACAATTGATTTTTGAAAATGATTTTTTTAAATAAAAAATAAAAAAATAATATTTTTTTTTTGTAAATTTTTTCAAAAACATTTTCAAAAGAGGGAAATTTGGAGAAAATTTTGATGGAGAAACGAAAAGTGACAAAGTTATAGTTTTAAAAAAAAACTGAAATTGATTTTTGAAAAAAAAAAATATTTAAAAAATAATTTTTGAAAAAAATTAACTTGAAATAATA